AAGGCAAGGCAAGGCAAGGCAAGGCAAGGCAAGGCAAGGCAAGGCAAGGCAAGGCAAGGCAAGGCAAGGCAAGGCAAGGCAAGGCACACACCGGGTTATATTTGAATTCTCTGCCTCTGCCTCCTTGCTTGGTCGGGCCGCTCAACGGTCAGCTTCACAGACGGACACTATAATTTACAGTTTTTTACTATGTTCAATTTGAATTTTCTTTAAAATAAAAAACATCTATATTAATTCTGACTTTTCTACATCCAACTCACAGGTTTATCATTACTTTGAGAAAAAGGATTATTAATTTAACCCTTTTAGAAGGGAAGATATGGTCATTTGTTCTGGGAATGTCATTTTCGAGCCTGAAACCTGCAAAACAGGCTCAGTGCTTAACAGGAGCCCCAGTTTTAACATTCTGTTAAAAACTTTAAAGTGTCCCAGTCCAAGCTATATTTTCTTGCACTACTCAATCTGTTTTCAAAGACTATATTGTTCTCCACATAACTAGTAAACTGGTCTTTATGTGTGAGAGCCTTTTCTTATCAAGCTCCACATTTGTGGAATCAGCTTCCAGTTTGTGTTCGTCGGCAGACACCCTATCCGTTTTTAAGAGTGCGCTTAAGACCTTCCTTTTTGATAAAGCTTATAGTTAGGGCTGATTAGATGCAGCCCCTAGTTTTGCTGCTATAGGCTTGGACTGTCGGGGGACATCTTACTTCTTCATTCTCTCTATTGAGTCCTGATCTGAGTCCTGGACTTCGAGTCGTGGCTGAACCTGTCTCTGCGGTCCTGCCTGACTCTCATCATACTACTTCCCTGATGGCTCCCACAGGATTGTTGACCTCCTCGTGGATTCATCTTCTTATTACAGACACATGAATTTCCTAACATTCGGTCTATATGCTGTAAAATGTATTATCTCTTCGATTTACACACGGCATCTATTGCACGTCTGTCCGTCCTGGGAGAGGGATCCCTCCTCTGTTGCTCTCCCTGAGGTTTCTCCCATTTTCCCTTTAAACTGTGGGTTTTCTCTGGAAGTGTTTCCTTGTACGATGTGAGGGTCTAAGGACAGAGGGTCTGAGGACAGAGGGTCTAAGGACAGAGGGTCTAAGGACAGAGGGTCTAAGGACAGAGGGTGTCATATTGTCATACTGATATTCTGTACAAACTGTAAAGTCCACTGAGACAAATGTAACATGTGTGATATTGGGCTATATAAATAAACATTGATTGATTGATGATTGATTGTCATTTCCACATGTCACATAATCATTGAAATAAATACATAATAATACACAATATAAATGGACTGATAAATGATATGGATTATCTGCCAGGAAGTATACAAATTATTTACTGTGTATTTCTACACTTCCTTTACTGCTTATACCGAGAAAAGCCAAACAACTATATGTTGTTTTTTCATGATTACTGCCAAAAGAACTCAATGCAATGACTGGCTTTTCCTCTTTCCATTTCCTCTCAGAAAGTCCCCCAGTCCGGCTTGTAATTTAGGACCGAACAAAGAAAAGTAAACCTCGGTCTGAGCCACATCCACTCTCACAGCGAAGGGAACACTACACAGTGTGTCCGACTGCCACATGCTGTAAAGCGGCTATTTATATCCCTCTGTGATGACCACATCTCATAGTTTCATCACTTATCTTCAGTTTTCTCTCGGTGAAAGTGATACTTGTTAGTGGGGAGATGCAACTGCATTTAGGGCATTTAGAAGTGACTATTCCTTGCCAGTATTTGGTAACAAAGTAATGCTAAAACAATATGAACTTCACTCTCAAATGTGAACAGCTCCGTCCACTTCCAGTCTGACTGCCTCAACACTATAAAAACACTTGCTCTGTTTTGCCTCAAATCCTCCAACAGGAACTAGAGTCATCTGTTTGTTTACACCATGGGTAGATTATGAGACACTGGGAGGCCCCCACCCTGAAAACAGAGGATCAAGACTTTAAAGGTCTCCTATTATACTATTTAGGCATATATTGCAGGTCTCAGATAGATACAAAAAACATGTATATGAAGTGTTTTGCTCAAAATGCCAAACGGATCATCCATTCTGGCCTCACGTCTCTCTATTTCAGCCCTGTTACTAAAGTGCTGATTCTGGGTCTGTAGCTTTACAATTAAAATAAACGAGAGTTCATGCAGGATAATTCTACTCCAAATGATGTTCTAAACCACATCAAGGATTCTCTCTGAAACAGTATGGAGCTCAAACTCTTTCTCTTTCTCAGGTTTACCACAAGGTGAGTTCCTTTTTATTTCCTGCTTCTTCACACATACTCTCTCCAGCACAGGTTAGCTCTGAGTGTTAGCATGCTAATGTAAACAAAGACAATATTACTTCTGTTGAATAAAGAATGAATAATTCGATTGTCTTTGTTGTATTTTATTCTTGCACGAAAGTTCAGTCAATCGTACAGAGAGCATACAGTCTGCAGAGCGAAAGAGTAAGTTCGGGTTTCATATTTAAACACAGAGAGAGGAGAAAGGAGGGGTGAAGCTCGGCAATGATAACGTTTAGGGAGGCAGTATCAGGATGTTCTCAGTTCACAGAAGGTGAAGGTCAAACTGTTGGTGCACAGAGAGTTTAACTAACAACACTGCAACACATCTTCTTAATAAGGACTTTTCCCAAGCTTAGCAAAGAAGTGAAAGCCAGTAAATATAGATAAACATTAGCCAGTAAGAATCACAGTGTATTCTAAAAGTAAGTAAATGAGCATCATATTGTTCTATTACACTTCCAAAACACGTCGCGCATTGTTTCTGAGTTTTTAGAGATGTGGGTAACAACAAGTGCATTTTGCATGATAGGACACCCAGGGCCGCCCCTCCCTACAGGCCAATCACGCAGGCTGCATGGGGCCCCGCCTTGCGCAGGGGGCCCCGCCCAGAGGGCCTCAGCTGCTGTGCGCAGTTCTCCGCACACCCCCGGCTGACACGGGATAGTGAGAGGTGACAAGGGGAGCACGTCTGTAACCCGACACCGTTGCAATGAATCGACATCTGACCAATCACGGCTTTGATACGGCCACTAGTGCAGGTGAAGAGATGTCGGTGAAAAGACAGTTTCAGTCCAGCGCAAGCAAGAGGGAAACAAAACAAAACTTGAAGAAACTATAGCATCACTCGAAGGTGGGTTATTGTCAAATGTACAACTTGCGAATGTTGTATAAGTCAAATTGCCAATTGCCATATTAAAACATCAGCTGCAATTCACAACATGAAGAAGGCAGTCTCTGCAGAGCATATAGGCTAATGGAGATGCAGTTATTTCCGGCATTCTTTATTTAACATTCTTCAAGTATGTGATGCCTTTTATCTGCTAATGTACAGGAGGAAGAGTGATAAACTGTCTGTTTAGTTGGCTTACATAACAGTTAAAGTTTACAGTCTATGAAACATGGAGCATTTTTCCCCCTTATATTCATTTTAATGTCAATTTGCACATTTCATGGTGATGCTCAGCCTCTCCCCTTAACTCCTAACAGTCATCATCATGTCAACCACAACACAGAGAAATACTGATAGAAATGTGTGTGTGGTTGTTGATACATTGCTGACAGAGGGAACTATGTTTGAATACAGATTTAAGAAATATCAGTTTTTGAGCATGTCATAAGCATGTTTTGTCTTGACTATTATAACAATATTACAATACAATAATATAGTATTTATATTATTGTATTGATTATGATTATTATTATTATTAGTAGAAGTAGTTTATTTGCATTAATTATATTTTAATCTTTTTGAGGCTAGCATACTGAACGACATACATGCACAACCATTTACCTCACTGCATAAAAAAAGTGTTGATAATAATAATAAACAGGAATTATATTTGCAAAGTAGCCTACTTTGTTTCCAAAATGTTTTTTTTTCACTCCTGTCGGTTGGGGGGGGGGGGGGGCCTCATCTCACAATGTCGCTTGGGGCCCCAAGTTGGCAGGGGCGGCCCTGAGGACACCTTTACAATTCAAAGAGCCTCCTTTAAAAGGAGTTGAGTAAAGTTGGAACGATATTGGCAGATTCTGATTTCACGGATCAATAACTCATGAACAAAACGTTATTCAGACACAAAGTACGTCTCCTAAGTACCGTGGTAAGGTTGACAACGAACTACAATCACATGTTGATCAAAAACAGCCAATACGCGCCGTCCTCCGAGCTGGACACATTACATTGGTCTCTATCGGCAGCCGGAGAAGAAACAAGTGCCCAGGGACCGTCTGCAAAGTGCAACTCCGAAACAAGAGAATACAATAATATTCAATCATTATTACACAGTATATTTCTACCAAACTCACTACACACATCAATAGTCTCCTGTTGGTCAGACTACAGCAGAGAGTTTGGAAGAATGTACTTTTGAATAATTTTGGTGAATATTTATAATGTAAAATCTTTAATAAACATGGCATCATCTTCAATAACTAGTAGTAGGCCTAATAATAGCTGTAGTATGACCAACAGGAGACTATTGATGTGTGTAGTGAGTTTGGTAGTAATATACTGTATAATAGTGATTGAATATTATTATATTCTTTTCAATCTCTTTTTTTGGAGTTGCACTTTGCAGACGGTCCCTGAGCACTCGTTTCTTCTCCGGCTGCGGATAGAGACCAATGTAATGTCTCCAGTTTGGAGGACGGCACGTATTGGCTTTTTTTGATCAAAATGTGATTGTAGTTCGTTGTCAGCCTTACCACGGTACTTAGGAGACGTACTTTGTGTTTGAACAACGTTTTATTCACGAGTTATTGATCCGTGAAATCTGAATCTGCCAATATCGTTCCAACTTTACTGAACTTTTAAAAGGTTATTGAATTCGTATTTCATGTTTCTGTCCAGTTACACCACAATACGGGTTTGAAGGGGGGGGGGGGGGGGGGGGGTGCACGGTTGACAGGGATGGGATCAGGGGGCTTTTCTCTTCTGGCTTTAAGGAAGGAACTTTACACTGACTCTGATTCTGGTCATCTCTCTAGTTCCCGGTGATCTGGCCAGCAGGGGAACAAAACGTTTCTGAAATGTGCTTCCACTCAGCTAGATAAATGTTTTACTCAAGTGAAATCTAAACCCATCCCGGAGCGGAGACACATGCCTTTTTTTCGGGGGTGTTTCTATTTTATAATGGGTGTTGCAGAGTGAACCGACAGAGAGTCCCGGGGCAGAGCGTCGCCAAGAGTCCGGAGGCTGAGGTCTGTGTGCGCCTTTTCTTGGAAAGCCTCCCAAAAAAGCTCAGTTTTGCCAAAGAGAACCTGCGGAGGCACTCAGCCGCGGAGCAGACTCAGCACTTTGGACACATTCTGTCGGAGGATTTCTCCTTTCTGAGCCCGGAGGATCATCTCACAGTTTGATGGACTTAAAACAACCGGAGGATTCATTGGATTCATTAATTTAACAGACGCGTACATTTTTGGAGATGTGACGTGGTCCAAACTTTCCGCCACTGAAAGACTTTGATTTTCCCTTGAAAATTGAGGATTATTACAAAGTGTTGGATGTGTGTGTGACATGATATGACCTCCTGGGATTATTCTTATGCACACGGATGGTTGAGATTTTTTGGATGTAACTTTTACGCACAGTCTTTTTTCGCGTTGTCTGGCACACAGAGGTTTCCTGAGCAGAAGGAATGATCTGAAACACTTCTCTGGCTCTGTGCTGCTCGCTGTATGTCTTCATCTGGAGTTCATTCTTTTATGAAATGCACTAAAGACGCACCAGGATCACTGGATCTCTATCTCTCCCCCCTCAGTACATCTAACTGTATCTCGCCACAATGCGGGGGGCTTTAATTCTCACTTTATCTCTAGTATATCTGCTAACTTGGACAGGTGAAGCAGACAAACAGACTCAAATGAAGAAAGCACAATTACGCAGGCGCGCGAGACAGGGACTTGGCCCAAATGGGGGTCTCGCGAGGCGCATGCATCTTGGGTTTGGTTCTGCTTTATCCGTGCACAGTCCCACAAAGGAGGAAGACGTGCAGGCGGATGAAGGAGCTCCAGTTTACACCAGGACTGTGCAGGGCAGAAGAGCAGGAGGTGTGACGTCACGGAGAGGGGTGATGCAGGATGAGGCAGCGCGAGGCAGGGTGCCCCGAGGACCCAGCAGCCAGAGGTGGGAAGTAGTGGAGTACAAATACTTCATTACTGTACTTAAGTACATTTTTCTGGGATCAGTATTTTACTCCACTACTTATTTTTCTGACGACTTTTTACTTTGACTTCTTACATTTTGAACCCAAATACCTGTACTTTCTACTTCTTACATGTTAAACACAAATACCTGTACTTTCTACTTCTTACATGTTGAACACAAATACCTGTACTTTCTACTTCTTACATTTTGAACCCAAATACCTGTACTTTCTACTTCTTACATGTTGAACACAAATACCTGTACTTTCTACTTCTTACATGTTAAACACAAATACCTGTACTTTCTACTTCTTACATGTTGAACACAAATACCTGTACTTTCTACTTCTTACATGTTGAACACAAATACCTGTACTTTCTACTTCTTACATGTTGAACACAAATACCTGTACTTTCTACTTCTTACATTTTGAACCCAAATACCTGTACTTTCTACTTCTTACATGTTGAACACAAATACCTGTACTTTCTACTTCTTACATGTTGAACACAAATACCTGTACTTTCTACTTCTTACATGTTGAACACAAATACCTGTACTTTCTACTTCTTACATGTTGAACTCAAATACCTGTACTTTCTACTTCTTACATGTTGAACTCAAATACCTGTACTTTCTACTTCTTATATGTTGAACTCAAATACCTGTATTTTCTACTTCTTACATGTTGAACACAAATACCTGTACTTTCTACTTCTTACATGTTGAACACAAATACCTGTACTTTCTACTTCTTACATGTTGAACACAAATACCTGTACTTTCTACTTCTCACATGTTGAACACAAATACCTGTACTTTCTACTTCTTACATGTTGAACTCAAATACCTGTACTTTCTACTTCTTACCTTGGCTAACATTTTATATTATATATATATATATATATATGACATGAAGAAGAGGGGACACATGTTGATGTAGAAGAGACATGAAGAAGTGGATTTTGCATAATAGGTGACCTTTATGTAAATTTCGTAGCCCATACTTCTTTACTTTTACTTGAGTAAAGAAGTTTAGTCAGTACTTCTACTTTTACCAGAGTATTTTACACGAGTATCTGTACTTCTACTTGAGTAAAGGATGTGTGAACTTTTTCCATCTCTTCAGCTCGGGGTCTCCAAACCTTCTGGCCACATTCGCAGGAAGAACCGGGTTCTGGTGATTTCTGCTCCCCACGAATCAGACGGATACTACCGGATGATGATGTCTCTTCTGAAGTCAGATGTTTACTGCGAGCTGGCAGAGAGACACGTGCACCAGGTGGTCATCTTCCATCAGGAGGGGAGATGGGGGGGAAGGTGAGGAGGATCACCAAGGAGGGGAAGGTGATGGAGGAACCGCTGGACACCGCTCTCATCCCCAGACTCATGAGCTTCCTCAAACTGGAGAAAGGTGAGAGGTGGGGTTATCCTGGAGGATGGGGGGGGGGGGGGGGGGGGGGGGGGGACACTGAGGCTCGTGGTGTTTGTTGTTATGACCCTTTAAAGGTCACCTAATATGCAAAATCCACTTCTTCATGTCTCTTCTACATCAACATGTGTCCCCTCTTCTTCATGTCTCTTCTACATCAACATGTGTCCCCTCTTCTTCATGTCTCTTCTACATCAACATGTGTCCCCCTCTTCTTCATGTCTCTTCTACATCAACATGTGTCCCCTCTTCTTCATGTCTCTTCTACATCAACATGTGTCCCCTCTTCTTCATGTCTCTTCTACATCAACATGTGTCCCCTCTTCTTCATGTCTCTTCTACATCAACATGTGTCCCCTCTTCTTCATGTCTCTTCTACATCAACATGTGTCCCCTCTTCCTCATGTCTCTTCTACATCAACATGTGTCCCCTCTTCTTCATGTCTCTTCTACATCAGCATGTGTCCCCTCTTCTTCATGTCTCTTCCACATCAACATGTGTCCCCTCTTCCTCATGTCTCTTCTACATCAACATGTGTCCCCTCTTCTTCATGTCTCTTCTACATCAACATGTGTCCCCTCTTCCTCATGTCTCTTCTACATCAACATGTGTCCCCTCTTCTTCATGTCTCTTCTTCATCAACATGTGTCCCCTCTTCTTCATGTCTCTTCTACATCAACATGTGTCCCCTCTTCTTCATGTCTCTTCTACATCAACATGTGTCCCCTCTTCTTCATGTCTCTTCTACATCAACATGTGTCCCCTCTTCTTCATGTCTCTTCTACATCAACATGTGTCCCCTCTTCTTCATGTCTCTTCTACATCAACATGTGTCCCCTCTTCTTCATGTCTCTTCTACATCAACATGTGTCCCCTCTTCTTCATGTCTCTTCTACATCAACATGTGTCCCCTCTTCTTCATGTCTCTTCTACATCAACATGTGTCCCCTCTTCCTCATGTCTCTTCTACATCAACATGTGTCCCCTCTTCTTCATGTCTCTTCTACATCAGCATGTGTCCCCTCTTCTTCATGTCTCTTCCACATCAACATGTGTCCCCTCTTCCTCATGTCTCTTCTACATCAACATGTGTCCCCCTCTTCTTCATGTCTCTTCTACATCAACATGTGTCCCCTCTTCCTCATGTCTCTTCTACATCAACATGTGTCCCCTCTTCTTCATTCTCTGTCTCTTCTTCATCAACATGTGTCCCCTCTTCTTCATGTCTCTTCTACATCAACATGTGTCCCCTCTTCTTCATGTCTCTTCTACATCAACATGTGTCCCCTCTTCTTCATGTCTCTTCTACATCAACATGTGTCCCCTCTTCTTCATGTCTCTTCTACATCAACATGTGTCCCCTCTTCTTCATGTCTCTTCTACATCAACATGTGTCCCCTCTTCTTCATGTCTCTTCTACATCAACATGTGTCCCCTCTTCTTCATGTCTCTTCTACATCAACATGTGTCCCCTCTTCTTCATGTCTCTTCTACATCAACATGTGTCCCCTCTTCCTCATGTCTCTTCTACATCAACATGTGTCCCCTCTTCTTCATGTCTCTTCTACATCAGCATGTGTCCCCTCTTCCTCATGTCTCTTCTACATCAACATGTGTCCCCTCTTCTTCATGTCTCTTCTACATCAACATGTGTCCCCTCTTCCTCATGTCTCTTCTACATCAACATGTGTCCCCTCTTCTTCATGTCTCTTCTTCATCAACATGTGTCCCCTCTTCTTCATGTCTCTTCTACATCAACATGTGTCCCCTCTTCTTCATGTCTCTTCTACATCAACATGTGTCCCCTCTTCTTCATGTCTCTTCTACATCAACATGTGTCCCCTCTTCTTCATGTCTCTTCTACATCAACATGTGTCCCCTCTTCTTCATGTCTCTTCTACATCAACATGTGTCCCCTCTTCTTCATGTCTCTTCTACATCAACATGTGTCCCCTCTTCTTCATGTCTCTTCTACATCAACATGTGTCCCCTCTTCTTCATGTCTCTTCTACATCAACATGTGTCCCCTCTTCTTCATGTCTCTTCTACATCAACATGTGTCCCCTCTTCTTCATGTCTCTTCTACATCAACATGTGTCCCCTCTTCCTCATGTCTCTTCTACATCAACATGTGTCCCCTCTTCTTCATGTCTCTTCTACATCAGCATGTGTCCCCTCTTCTTCATGTCTCTTCCACATCACATGTGTCCCCTCTTCCTCATGTCTCTTCTACATCAACATGTGTCCCCTCTTCTTCATGTCTCTTCTACATCAACATGTGTCCCCTCTTCCTCATGTCTCTTCTACATCAACATGTGTCCCCCTCTTCTTCATGTCTCTTCTTCATCAACATGTGTCCCCTCTTCTTCATGTCTCTTCTACATCAACATGTGTCCCCTCTTCTTCATGTCTCTTCTACATCAACATGTGTCCCCTCTTCTTCATGTCTCTTCTACATCAACATGTGTCCCCTCTTCTTCATGTCTCTTCTACATCAACATGTGTCCCCTCTTCTTCATGTCTCTTCTACATCAACATGTGTCCCCTCTTCTTCATGTCTCTTCTACATCAACATGTGTTCCCCTCTTCTTCATGTCTCTTCTACATCAACATGTGTCCCCTCTTCTTCATGTCTCTTCTACATCAACATGTGTCCCCTCTTCCTCATGTCTCTTCTACATCAACATGTGTCCCCTCTTCTTCATGTCTCTTCTACATCATCATGTGTCCCCTCTTCTTCATGTCTCTTCCACATCAACATGTGTCCCCTCTTCCTCATGTCTCTTCTACATCATCATGTGTCCCCTCTTCTTCATGTCTCTTCTACATCAACATGTGTCCCCTCTTCTCATGTCTCTTCTACATCAACATGTGTCCCCTCTTCTTCATGTCTCTTCTACATCAACATGTGTCCCCTCTTCTTCATGTCTCTTCTACATCAACATGTGTCCCCTCTTCTTCATGTCTCTTCTACATCAACATGTGTCCCCTCTTCTTCATGTCTCTTCTACATCAACATGTGTCCCCTCTTCTTCATGTCTCTTCTACATCAACATGTGTCCCCTCTTCTTCATGTCTCTTCTACATCAACATGTGTCCCCTCTTCTTCATGTCTCTTCTACATCAACATGTGTCCCCTCTTCTTCATGTCTCTTCTACATCAACATGTGTCCCCTCTTCCTCATGTCTCTTCTACATCAACATGTGTCCCCTCTTCTTCATGTCTCTTCTACATCAGCATGTGTCCCCTCTTCCTCATGTCTCTTCTACATCAACATGTGTCCCCTCTTCTTCATGTCTCTTCTACATCAACATGTGTCCCCCTCTTCCTCATGTCTCTTCTACATCAACATGTGTCCCCTCTTCTTCATGTCTCTTCTTCATCAACATGTGTCCCCTCTTCTTCATGTCTCTTCTACATCAACATGTGTCCCCTCTTCTTCATGTCTCTTCTACATCAACATGTGTCCCCTCTTCTTCATGTCTCTTCTACATCAACATGTGTCCCCTCTTCTTCATGTCTCTTCTACATCAACATGTGTCCCCTCTTCTTCATGTCTCTTCTACATCAACATGTGTCCCCTCTTCTTCATGTCTCTTCTACATCAACATGTGTCCCCTCTTCTTAATGTCTCTTCTACATCAACATGTGTCCCCTCTTCTTCTTGTCTCTTCTACATCAACATGTGTCCAAATCTCTCTCAGAGGGGCGTGGGGAGGGGCTCCTTATTTTCATCTAAAGTAACAGACAGAGAATCAGCACTTTGGAAACAGGGCTGAAACAGAGGGGATTATGGGTAATGCTGCAATGATCTGTTTGGTGTTTCAGCCAAGAGACAGACAGGCTCTGTATATATCTGAGACCTGTGATACATTGATGAGAAACAGTACAATAGGAGACCTTTAAGTTCCCATTTTTCTAAATAAATGTAATAAATTATGAATGAAAATGTACTATTTTGGGGCAACATTGTGAGTAGGTAGAAACTGGGTAGAAACATGACAGAATACCTGATATGTGATGAGTGATGTTTTGTTTTTCCTGCAGGTAAGTTTGGGATGGTGCTGCTGAAGAAGACGCTGCAGGTGGTGGAGAGGTACCCGTACCCAGTGAGGCTGGAGGCGATGTACGAGGCGATCGACCAGGCGCCCGCGAGGAAGAACGAGAAGCTCAGACAGAAAGGATTCGTGCAGAAATGCAAAGCTGCAGGAGTGGAGGGTCAGGTGGAGGAGGGCACGCTCACAGGTGAGAGGGGGGAGGTGGAGAGAATGCAACTAACCATTCTTTAATCTATATAAAACTAAAATAGTTCAAAACATCCATCCCAGTGTCTCAGAGTCCAAGGTGACGTCTTTAAATACCTGTTTTAAGCGGCCACAAGCCCTAGTATGACACAAAACAAATTAAAGGTGGAGATCTCCATAGTTTTTCCGTACATACTGTATTTCATTATTGATTTTATTGTATTTACGTATATTGGTATTCACTTATTTATTTATTTTGTATTCATTTTGCTGATATTAATAAAACTATTCATCTGTTATCTGCCTTTTTATTAAGTAGATACACCAGTACAAAGATTACCACACAAGAAGATCCCAAGAAAGCCCCAAATAACAACAACAACAACCACAGCTGCCACAACAACAACAACAACAACCACCACACGACCAACCACCACAACTCGGCCCACCACCACCAAGAGAGCAACAACCACCACCACGACAAAAGCAACAACAACAACAACCACCAAACCCACCACCACCACCAGAAGAACCACCACAAAGAGATTCACCACCACCAACACTCAGGTACAGAGATGGCAAAAGTACACACTTCCTTTGCTCAAGTAGAAGTACAGATACTCGTGTTTAAAAATACTCTGGTGAAAGTAGAAGTACTGACTAAACTTCTTTACTAAAGTAAAATAAAAGAAGTATGGGCTTTGAAATGTACTTCAGTAAAAAGTACCCATAACTACCAGCTGTTTTAAAGAGTACCTGACCTCCCTTTATATTAATAGAACAATAATGTCATTGTTAGCTAATGAATGTTTCCATGCTGAACAACGGCAACATGACAACATTTCCATTCATTCTTCTTTAGAGAAGACCAGAGGCCTGTACTACGAAGCAGGATTTTCTCTTAGCGGCTAACTTCAGGGAAAACTCGGGGTTTCCGGTCCTACGACGCTGGTTCTCTTTTTAGCGGGCTAGATCTCCATGGTAACTGATGCTGAGCGGCTAACCTGCCCCGGAGCAGGTTAGGTTGCAGGCTAAGAGCTCAACTCAGTGAAAGCACCGCCTGCTGACCAATCAGAGCACAGTGTGTGGAGTTTAAAGCGATCAAGTCATATTACAGGAGAAAGGAAATACAGAAAAGCTGCCGGAAAGACGGCCGGCAAGAATCACCGACTGTGTGAAAGTGAACATTAATAGAATATCACCTCCATCTTCAGAGCAATCTGACTATTATAACATTAGCGTTAAGAAAGCTTACTTACATATCTGCCACAACATAAGTAACCGGATCAGAGTAACATTAAGTACAGTCCGCGGCATATCACATCATAATGTATCATATATTTCCTTATCTGAGTCAGCTGAGCCGTATCTGGCCGTGCAACACTCACAGTGTCACAGACTGTATGCAGAAGTATTATTTTAAGCAACACATTAAGTTGACGAAACACTCGAGACAAATGTAATTAAAGTCAGATCGTGTCTTAGACGGGGCAGTGATATCATAAACCTGTTAATGTACGCATTCAAACACTTGTTCTGTTACCAGCTGTATTCACCTTGCAGGTGCAGCTCTGTGGCTTTGATCCTGGATCAAGTGTTTAAGTCATGGATGTTTAAAGTTTAACTTCTTCATATGTCTAATATTATAGTTGACTTTTCATTCAGGAAGTATGACGCTGGCTGTCAGTATGCTTCTCCATGTTTGTGATTGGTCGAATGCTCCAGATACCACCCCTTTCATGTGAACGCGCACCTAACTAGATAGGACACGGCTGGCTTGGGCGATCCACTTGATAACCAGCGTCGTAGTACAGGTTAGCGAGAGCGCGTATGTTTTTGGATCAACATGTGAGAAGTAGAAAGTACAGGTATTTGAGTTCAACATGTAAGAAGTAGAAAGTACAGGTATTTGAGTTCAACATGTAAGAAGTAGAAAGTACAGGTATTTGAGTTCAACATGTAAGAAGTAGAAAGTACAGGTATTTGAGTTCAACATGTGAGAAGTAGAAAGTACAGGTATTTGAGTTCAACATGTAAGAAGTAGAAAGTACAGGTATTTGAGTTCAACATGTGAGAAGTAGAAAGTACAGGTATTTGAGTTCAACATGTAAGAAGTAGAAAGTACAGGTATTTGAGTTCAACATGTAAGAAGTAGAAAGTACAGGTATTTGTGTTCAACATGTAAGAAGTAGAAAGTACAGGTATTTGAGTTCAACATGTGAGAAGTAGAAAGTACAGGTATTTGAGTTCAACATGTAAGAAGTAGAAAGTACAGGTATTTGAGTTCAACATGTAAGAAGTAGAAAGTACAGGTATTTGAGTTCAACATGTGAGAAGTAGAAAGTACAGGTATTTGTGTTCAACATGTAAGAAGTAGAAAGTACAGGTATTTGTGTTCAAAGTGTAAGAAGTAGAAAGTACAGGTATTTGAGTTCAACATGTGAGAAGTAGAAAGTACAGGTATTTGTGTTCAACATATAAGAAGTAGAAAGTACAGGTATTTGTGTTCAAAGTGTAAGAAGTAGAAAGTACAGGTATTTGAGTTCAAAATGTAAGAAGTAGAAAGTACAGGTATTTGGGTTCAAAATGTAAGAAGTAGAAAGTACAGGTATTTGGGTTCAACATGTAAGAAGTAGAAAGTACAGGTATTTGGGTTCAAAATGTAAGAAGTAGAAAGTACAGGTATTTGTGTTCAAAGTGTAAGAAGTAGAAAGTACAGGTATTTGAGTTCAAAATGTAAGAAGTAGAAAGTACAGGTATTTGAGTTCAACATGTAAGAAGTAGAAAGTACAGGTATTTGAGTTCAACATGTAAGAAGTAGAAAGTACAGGTATTTGGGTTCAACATGTAAGAAGTAGAAAGTACAGGTATTTGAGTTCAACATGTAAGAAGTAGAAAGTACAGGTATTTGAGTTCAACATGTAAGAAGTAGAAAGTACAGGTATTTGTGTTCAACATATAAGAAGTAGAAAGTACAGGTATTTGAGTTCAACATGTAAGAAGTAGAAAGTACAGGTATTTGAGTTCAACATGTAAGAAGTAGAAAGTACAGGTATTTGGGTTCAACATGTAAGAAGTAGAAAGTACAGGTATTTGAGTTCAACATGTAAGAAGTAGAAAGTACAGGTATTTGAGTTCAACATGTAAGAAGTAGAAAGTACAGGTATTTGAGTTCAACATGTAAGAAGTAGAAAGTACAGGTATTTGAGTTCAAAATGTAAGAAGTAGAAAGTACAGGTATTTGTGTTCAAAATGTAAGAAGTCAAAGTAAAAAGTCATCAGAAAAATAAGTAGTGGAGTAAAGTACTGAAAAAGTACTTAAGTACAGTAACAAAGTATTTGTTCTCCACGACTTCCCCTCTGGTGATAGCTGTAGCTTACATCAAACTGAAACTGTGTGAAAAACCCAAGAAAGAAAGTAAGTTACAGTGACATGTATAAGAGTCATGGGCTGGAAGTCCTTTGAGACACATCATGTCCTCGTCTGTCCACATTTCAAAGGCTCTGTCATCTTTGACCTGAACCCAGAGGACAAAAGGGACCCTCTTTTATTGGCCACATGTTTTGAAGAATCCAGACCACACAATTACAGATCGTGATGATATTTTAACAATGTGAACAGACTCAGACTTTCCCTCGAAGGTTAAAGTACTTTCTCTTCTCTTATGTTGTACATGTTCATTCAAGGGTTACACAATATGAGACAAATATAACATAAGTATTGTACTCCACTACTTCTCCTCTCCCAGAGACCCACCAGAGCCCAGACGACCTCCCAGTGGCTCCCAGTCCCCAGGACCACAGCTGACCCCTCCCACTACAGCAGAGTGAGGGAGAGGAACCAGGTGAAGACCACCCCGTCTGGAGATAACCGAACGGATAAAGACAACAGAGATCCAAACAGCCGCAAACTGGTTCCCTCCACTCAAAAACCATCAAAGATCAAACCTGCCAAGAGGAAGAACGCGGGAGGAAAGGTGAGGTAAAAGTGTTTTGGGGTCTTTTTGTGTGTACGTTAGGTCAAGGGTCTGCGAAAACAGGAAGTAATGACGGAGCAGGGACCTCCTTCTACCTCTGTATAAACTTGAATTGCATATTCGTCATTCCATTAGGTGTATGGTATCCTTAAGTGCCATGTTCTGTATAAACATTCATATTCTACATTCCATATTTATGGTGCATGCAATACTAAACTCTTAAGGCCCGGACACACCGAGCCGATTTCGGCCGTCGATAGATGTCTGGCCGTCGATGAGCGTCCTGTCGCCCTACTCAGATTGGTGTGTCTCGCACCGTCGTGTCTTTTCGGCCGTGCCGACACCTTCCGCTCCCGATTCAAGTCGGCAAAAGGCTGTCGGCAAAATAAATCACTCTGATTGGCTGTTCAGCTTAGCGAATCAGTGCATGAGAAGTGAAACGGAAGTGAAGAAGGCACAAACAGACGGCTATTATTTTTCATTTTCCAGTACCGCACTAAACATGTTTTCGATTATAAGTCGTTATGTGAAATAGTCTGTGATGGACGAGAGTGAAAATGCAACGCACGCTATTTGTTGTTTGTATATATCACGCAGTCTGTCTTTCGGTTGTTGCCTCTTTTGAATGACGAAGACACACTACCGCCACCTGCTGGTAAGGAGAGTTATTGCCACTCACGCATGCGCAGTTCGTACGTGCTACTTGGCCGTCGGCTGAAGTCTTTGCGGTGTGTTCCAGTGCGACTGTTTGGCCAAGACGCAGGAGACGCGAGGGTCCGTCGGGACGTGTTCTTTGGTGTGTAGGGCCTTTAAAGTAATGTAACCTTAGCTAAGAAGTTCACAGTTTAAAAAAAGTGCTGTACCGTGATTTAGCATATAGCTAGCCTTTGTGATTTCAAGTATTTATGGGTTAGAGTAAGACTGTCATTGTTGTGTAAGTTAAATGGTTTTGGTTGTTTTCCCGATAAATAGGCCAGTTAATAGTTTCAGACACTGACATTTAAAAAAAACAAAATACTTCAAATCAAATTAAACTATAATTTGCTGTCCCCCCCATGGTGGTTAGGCGGGGTGCAGAGCGGCTGAAGGCTCTAGACCCCATGGTGGTTAGGCGGGGTGCAGAGCGGCTGAAGGCTCTAGACCCCATGGTGGTTAGGCGGGGTGCAGAGCGGCTGAAGGCTCTAGACCCCATGGTGGTTAGGCGGGGTGCAGAGCGGCTGAAGGCTCTAGACCCCATGGTGGTTAGGAGGGGTGCAGAGCGGCTCAAGGCTCTCGACCCCATGGTGGTTAGGAGGGGTGCAGAGCGGCTGAAGGCTCTAGACCCCATGGTGGTTAGGCGGGGTGCAGAGCGGCTGAAGGCTCTAGACCCCATGGTGGTTAGGCGGGGTGCAGAGCGGCTGAAGGCTCTAGACCCCATGGTGGTTAGGCGGGGTGCAGAGCGGCTGAAGGCTCTAGACCCCATGGTGGTTAGGCGGGGTGCAAAGCGGCTGAAGGCTCTAGACCCCATGGTGGTTAGGCGGGGTGCAGAGCGGCTGAAGGCTCTAGACCCCATGGTGGTTAGGCGGGGTGCAAAGCGGCTGAAGGCTCTAGACCCCATGGTGGTTAGGCGGGGTGCAGAGCAGCTGAAGGCTCTAGACCCCATGAAGGTTAGGCGGGGTGCAGAGCGGCTGAAGGCTCTAGACCCCATGGTGGTTAGGCGGGGTGCAGAGCGGCTGAAGGCTCTAGACCCCATGGTGGTTAGGCGGGGTGCAGAGCAGCTGAAGGCTCTAGACCCCATGAAGGTTAGGCGGGGTGCAGAGCGGCTGAAGGCTGTAGACCCCATGGTGGTTAAACGGAAGGGGGGTGGAGGGAAGCAGAATACCTGAGAGTGCGGATGGGTGTTGATGTGCAGGAGGTCGGAGAGGTGCAGAGGAGTGAGGTTATGGATTTGACGGGGAGCGAGTGAAGTTGCTGAAGAACAGGAGTGATGTGGTTAATGGAGGGGGTTCTGGTGATGATTGCGAGCGGCAGAGTTCTGGACCAGTTGAAGTCTGTAGATGGATTTGAGAGGGAGACCAAAGAGAATGAGTTGCAGTGGTCAATGCGGGAAGTGACCAGGGTGTGAACAAGAATGGCGGTGCTCTTAGGGTTAAGGGACGGGCGGAGGAGGTTGATGTTGCGTAGATGGAAATAGGCAGACCGAGTGAGATAGCAGACTTCGACCATTTCCATAAGTAAATAATAATGCTTGTAATTTGGGTCCGCTCCAAAATCTAATCAGTTCTCCCTCCGTGCAACATCCTTCCCCTAAGGTTAATGAAAATAGGGTGAGGACTTTTTCCGTAATCCTGTTGACCGACAAATGGAGAGGTTCGGCTCAGGAGGTGAAGGTTGTCTCAAAATTGAAATGTTCCTCCAGAGAGTGTTGAAGTGTCCTTGAGCATCAAACCGTATCCACTCATCGGTGTATGAATGTATGACGTGTGTTGTAAAGCGCTTTGAAATTTAGACTAGAAAAGCGTTATATAAATGCACTCCAATTACAAACAAACCAAACTGAAAGCATTCAATAGTACGTCCTTTGCAGAGGTAATTCGTTTTGGGAGTGTATATGATTATAAAAGTGAGCTAAAGTTAGGAGTCATTTTGCAGGGCACTTTCACACATTTAACTTCATTAAGAGATTGGACCTTTCTTCATCTATTTAGCCTTGACTGGAATTTCTGCAATTTTAACCACTAGTGCTTCACTTTGTGTGTTCAACAACTTGACATTCTTGTGAAATGGTTAATCATTGCCCTAGTTCTCTCTCCGGGTTGAGTTCTCTATCTGTGTTTTTTAATATCTCTCCATCTGTGTTTTGTAATAGTTCTCTATCTGTGTTTTTTAAAAATCTCTCCATCTGTGTTTTGTAATAGTTCTCTATCTGTGTTTTTTAATATCTCTCTATCTGTGTTTTTTAATATCTCTCTATCTGTGTTTTTTAATATCTCTCTATCTGTGTTTTTTAATATCTCTCTATCTGTGTTGAGTTCTCTATCTGTGTTTTTTAATATCTCTCTATCTGTGTTGAGTTCTCTATCTGTGTTTTTTAATATCTCTCTATCTGTGTTGAGTTCTCTATCTGTGTTTTTTAATAGTTCTCTATCTGTGTTTTTTAATATTTCTCTATCTGTGGTTTTTAATAGTTCTCTATCTGTGGTTTTTAATAGTTCTCTATCTGTGGTTTTTAATAGTTCTCTATCTGTGGTTTTTCATTTTCATTGTACTTTTATGTATGCACCATGACATCAAGTCAAATTCCTCGTACGTGTCAACCTACCTGGTAATAAACCTGATTCTGTTTCTGATTTCTGATTCTGATGGTATTAAATCAATGAGGAAACTGGAAATATACTTTAACAACCAAATTAACAACATGCTTTTGTCCGTGCAGGTGATGACAAATGAGTACGAGGACAGGTTTGAAGCGGGCAAACCCACAGTGAGTGATCCGGAGGAAACCTTCACCAGCATCAGTCCCACCAAGAGGGTGAAGGGAAAACACGATAAGCTCGACAAGAGGAAGAAAAAGAATGACAAGGCTGGCAAGAAAGGCGAGAGGAGAGGAGGAAAGGCCGGGAAGATCGGGGAAAGAAAAATGGAAAGAAGTTGTCAAAGTACCCGGAGAAAGAGGACTTCCCGAAGCCCACTAAGAAGCCGACGCCCGCTCCGAAGGGATCTCTGGCCTCCTTCCTCGACTACTTTGAGAACAGGAGGCGACTGCTGGTGAGAGCATGACGTAATTCACAGCTCATGAAAGGAGCCTCACTCTGCCTCTCTTTCCTTTCTGGCAGAAGTACACACATCCTTTACTCAAGTAGAAGTACAGATACTCGTGTTTAAAAATACTCTGGTGAAAGTAGAAGTACTGACTAAACTTCTTTACTCAAGTAAAAGTAAAGAGGGCTTTGAAGTGTACTTCAGTAAAAAGTACCCATAACTAGCAGCTGTTTTAAAGAGTACCTGACCTCCCTTTATATTAATAGAACAATAATGTCATTGTTAGCTAATGAATGTTTCCATGCTGAACAACGGCAACATTTCCATTGGTCCCTCTTCTTTAGAGAAGACCAGGAAATGATGGATACACGGATCGTGTTCAAATCAATAGGCACGCAATGACTCTAAAGAATAATGATCACGCATCAAACACACATTCAGACTAAAGGAACCAGCTGTTTGGAAAATGAGAGAAGTAGAAAGTACAGGTATTTGTGTTCAACATGTAAGAAGTAGAAAGTACAGGTATTTGGGTTCAACATGTAAGAAGTAGAAAGTACAGGTATTAGGGTTCAACATGTAAGAAGTAGAAAGTACAGGTATTTGTGTTCAACATGTAAGAAGTAGAAAGTACAGGTATTTGAGTTCAACATGTAAGAAGTAGAAAGTACAGGTATTTGTGTTCAACATGTAAGAAGTAGAAAGTACAGGTATTTGTGTTCAACATGTAAGAAGTAGAAAGTACAGGTATTTGGGTTCAACATGTAAGAAGTAGAAAGTACAGGTATTTGTGATCAAAATGTAAGAAGTAGAAAGTACAGGTATTTGTGTTCAACATGTAAGAAGTATAAAGTACAGGTATTTGAGTTCAACATGTAAGAAGTAGAAAGTACAGGTATTTGGGTTCAACATGTAAGAAGTAGAAAGTACAGGTATTTGTGTTCAACATGTAAGAAGTAGAAAATACAGGTATTTGGGTTCAACATGTAAGAAGTAGAAAGTACAGGTATTTGAGTTCAACATGTACGAAGTAGAAAGTACAGGTATTTGTGTTCAACATGTAAGAAGTAGAAAGTACAGGTATTTGAGTTCAACATGTGAGAAGTAGAAAGTACAGGTATTTGAGTTCAACATGTAAGAAGTAGAAAGTACAGGTATTTGAGTTCAACATGTGAGAAGTAGAAAGTACAGGTATTTGAGTTCAACATGTGAGAAGTAGAAAGTACAGGTATTTGTGTTCAACATGTGAGAAGTAGAAAGTACAGGTATTTGTGTTCAACATGTAAGAAGTAGAAAGTTCAGGTATTTGTGTTTAACATGTAAGAAGTAGAAAGTTCAGGTATTTGTGTTTAACATGTAAGAAGTAGAAAGTACAGGTATTTGTGTTCAACATGTAAGAAGTAGAAAGTACAGGTATTTGTGTTTAACATGTAAGAAGTAGAAAGTTCAGGTATTTGTGTTTAACATGTAAGAAGTAGAAAATACAGGTATTTGGGTTCAACATGTAAGAAGTAGAAAGTACAGGTATTTGAGTTCAACATGTAAGAAGTAGAAAATACAGGTATTTGGGTTCAACATGTAAGAAGTAGAAAGTACAGGTATTTGAGTTCAACATGTAAGAAGTAGAAAGTACAGGTATTTGTGTTCAACATGTAAGAAGTAGAAAGTACAGGTATTTGAGTTCAACATGTGAGAAGTAGAAAGTACAGGTATTTGAGTTCAACATGTAAGAAGTAGAAAGTACAGGTATTTGAGTTCAACATGTGAGAAGTAGAAAGTACAGGTATTTGAGTTCAACATGTGAGAAGTAGAAAGTACAGGTATTTGTGTTCAACATGTGAGAAGTAGAAAGTACAGGTATTTGAGTTCAACATGTGAGAAGTAGAAAGTACAGGTATTTGTGTTCAACATGTAAGAAGTAGAAAGTACAGGTATTTGTGTTCAACATGTAAGAAGTAGAAAGTACAGGTATTTGGGTTCAACATGTAAGAAGTAGAAAGTACAGGTATTTGTGATCAAAATGTAAGAAGTAGAAAGTACAGGTATTTGTGTTCAACATGTAAGAAGTATAAAGTACAGGTATTTGAGTTCAACATGTAAGAAGTAGAAAGTACAGGTATTTGGGTTCAACATGTAAGAAGTAGAAAGTACAGGTATTTGTGTTCAACATGTAAGAAGTAGAAAATACAGGTATTTGGGTTCAACATGTAAGAAGTAGAAAGTACAGGTATTTGTGTTCAACATGTAAGAAGTAGAAAGTACAGGTATTTGGGTTCAACATGTAAGAAGTAGAAAGTACAGGTATTTGTGATCAAAATGTAAGAAGTAGAAAGTACAGGTATTTGTGTTCAACATGTAAGAAGTATAAAGTACAGGTATTTGAGTTCAACATGTAAGAAGTAGAAAGTACAGGTATTTGGGTTCAACATGTAAGAAGTAGAAAGTACAGGTATTTGTGTTCAACATGTAAGAAGTAGAAAATACAGGTATTTGGGTTCAACATGTAAGAAGTAGAAAGTACAGGTATTTGAGTTCAACATGTACGAAGTAGAAAGTACAGGTATTTGTGTTCAACATGTAAGAAGTAGAAAGTACAGGTATTTGAGTTCAACATGTGAGAAGTAGAAAGTACAGGTATTTGAGTTCAACATGTAAGAAGTAGAAAGTACAGGTATTTGAGTTCAACATGTGAGAAGTAGAAAGTACAGGTATTTGAGTTCAACATGTGAGAAGTAGAAAGTACAGGTATTTGTGTTCAACATGTGAGAAGTAGAAAGTACAGGTATTTGTGTTCAACATGTAAGAAGTAGAAAGTTCAGGTATTTGTGTTTAACATGTAAGAAGTAGAAAGTTCAGGTATTTGTGTTTAACATGTAAGAAGTAGAAAGTACAGGTATTTGTGTTCAACATGTAAGAAGTAGAAAGTTCAGGTATTTGTGTTTAACATGTAAGAAGTAGAAAGTTCAGGTATTTGTGTTTAACATGTAAGAAGTAGAAAATACAGGTATTTGGGTTCAACATGTAAGAAGTAGAAAGTACAGGTATTTGAGTTCAACATGTAAGAAGTAGAAAATACAGGTATTTGGGTTCAACATGTAAGAAGTAGAAAGTACAGGTATTTGAGTTCAACATGTACGAAGTAGAAAGTACAGGTATTTGTGTTCAACATGTAAGAAGTAGAAAGTACAGGTATTTGAGTTCAACATGTGAGAAGTAGAAAGTACAGGTATTTGAGTTCAACATGTAAGAAGTAGAAAGTACAGGTATTTGAGTTCAACATGTGAGAAGTAGAAAGTACAGGTATTTGAGTTCAACATGTGAGAAGTAGAAAGTACAGGTATTTGTGTTCAACATGTGAGAAGTAGAAAGTACAGGTATTTGAGTTCAACATGTGAGAAGTAGAAAGTACAGGTATTTGTGTTCAACATGTAAGAAGTAGAAAGTACAGGTATTTGTGTTCAACATGTAAGAAGTAGAAAGTACAGGTATTTGGGTTCAACATGTAAGAAGTAGAAAGTACAGGTATTTGTGATCAAAATGTAAGAAGTAGAAAGTACAGGTATTTGTGTTCAACATGTAAGAAGTATAAAGTACAGGTATTTGAGTTCAACATGTAAGAAGTAGAAAGTACAGGTATTTGGGTTCAACATGTAAGAAGTAGAAAGTACAGGTATTTGTGTTCAACATGTAAGAAGTAGAAAATACAGGTATTTGGGTTCAACATGTAAGAAGTAGAAAGTACAGGTATTTGAGTTCAACATGTACGAAGTAGAAAGTACAGGTATTTGTGTTCAACATGTAAGAAGTAGAAAGTACAGGTATTTGAGTTCAACATGTGAGAAGTAGAAAGTACAGGTATTTGAGTTCAACATGTAAGAAGTAGAAAGTACAGGTATTTGAGTTCAACATGTGAGAAGTAGAAAGTACAGGTATTTGAGTTCAACATGTGAGAAGTAGAAAGTACAGGTATTTGTGTTCAACATGTGAGAAGTAGAAAGTACAGGTATTTGTGTTCAACATGTAAGAAGTAGAAAGTTCAGGTATTTGTGTTTAACATGTAAGAAGTAGAAAGTTCAGGTATTTGTGTTTAACATGTAAGAAGTAGAAAGTACAGGTATTTGTGTTCAACATGTAAGAAGTAGAAAGTTCAGGTATTTGTGTTTAACATGTAAGAAGTAGAAAGTTCAGGTATTTGTGTTTAACATGTAAGAAGTAGAAAATACAGGTATTTGGGTTCAACATGTAAGAAGTAGAAAGTACAGGTATTTGAGTTCAACATGTAAGAAGTAGAAAATACAGGTATTTGGGTTCAACATGTAAGAAGTAGAAAGTACAGGTATTTGAGTTCAACATGTACGAAGTAGAAAGTACAGGTATTTGTGTTCAACATGTAAGAAGTAGAAAGTACAGGTATTTGAGTTCAACATGTGAGAAGTAGAAAGTACAGGTATTTGAGTTCAACATGTAAGAAGTAGAAAGTACAGGTATTTGAGTTCAACATGTGAGAAGTAGAAAGTACAGGTATTTGAGTTCAACATGTGAGAAGTAGAAAGTACAGGTATTTGTGTTCAACATGTGAGAAGTAGAAAGTACAGGTATTTGTGTTCAACATGTAAGAAGTAGAAAGTTCAGGTATTTGTGTTTAACATGTAAGAAGTAGAAAGTTCAGGTATTTGTGTTTAACATGTAAGAAGTAGAAAATACAGGTATTTGGGTTCAAAATGTAAGAAGTCAAAGTAAAAAGTCGTCAGAAAAATAAGTAGTGGAGTAAAGTACTGATACCAGAAACATGTACTTACAGTAAGTACAGTAACAAAGTATTTGTACTCCACTACTTCCCACCTCTGTTTATATGGAGTATTAAATGGCTCTGATGTACCAAAACCCAGCCCAAACACATACCAGTTTTAAATTACATTATTACATTACATTACATTGCATTTAGCTGACGCTTTTATCCAAAGCGACTTACAATAAGTGCGTTCGACCAACAAGATACAAACTTGAAGAAAACAGAATCATATAAGTACATCAGGTTTCATAGAGCCAAAACATTTCAAGTGCTACTCAACTGGCTTTAGATAAGCCAGTCCTTAAATAAATAGTTAAATAGTTACTGCTAAAAGTTAGATGAGAAGATTGCTACCCCTTTAAGTTCTGGCTTTTCAATCTACAAAGCTACAGCCAACAGGTAGTTAGCTAGTTAGCTTAGCTTAGCATACAACATACAGGAAACCGGTGCTAGCCTTGCTCAGTCCAAAAACATTATTGATGCTAAGCTAAGCTAACTGGCTCCTTGCTGTAGCTTCATTTTATTTCCCTGTAGAGAGAAGAGAGTGGTTCAAATTCCTCCCTCTTCTTCTCTTACTAGAAGACAGATAAGAATATTGCTAGAATAATCTATTTGGCTACAGCCAGCAGCTAGTTAGTTTAGCATAGAGACTATAAATGATTAGCCTCGCTCAGTCCAAAAACAGTTGTTATGCTACTTTAAGCTAACGCAAGATAGCAAATAAGCGTATTTCCCAAAAAAGATTCACATCAGAAGTTAACCTTTATCTTTTCAGAGTAAGACACAGTAAACGAGACACATGTATCCAAAAAAAATGTCTGGTAAAACCATTCACTATCACAATAAAATGATATTGCTTTGTCTTCCATTTTACATGTGTCTTTTCAGCAGAAGTTAGTCCTTCTAGAACAGAACAAGGTGACCAACTTCCCATTACAAAAAGCACTGTAAACTCATTAACGTTTTCCACAAACAATCGCAACATCTGGAGAAGGGATTTAATGTTGATAAATTCTTACAGGTCAACAAACCACTACACACACGTTCTGTGGTGTGCAAACCACTCACTTGTTTCCCCCTTTTGTATCCCTTAATGTCATTACTTTATAGCCTGAAGTAGTTAGAAATATGAATACAGACATGCCGTATGTGGAGGCTGCACAGCTGAGTGCTAACAGACTGAGTGTCTCTGTTTTGCAGCAGCTATAGATTCTTATCACAGCAGTGCTGGGAAAATATGCCCCATCCTCCGCCTGCAGGTTAATGTAAACATCACCTCTGCAGCACCCTGTGTGTGTGTGTGTGTAGATGTGTGTGTGTGTTTTTCATTGCACATACATGACAGTCTCTCCCTTCCTGCAGCTGATCACGTCCCCCGGGGAGGAGAGCAACATGTACGTTCAGCAGAGAGATGAGTACCTGGAGTCTGTGTGTGAAATGGCCATCAGGAAAGTTTCCATCATCACCATCTTCGGCTCGCTGAGCAACTCCACCATGAAGATCGACCACTACCAGCTGGGTGAGTATCCTGCAGTGTCTCACCAGGGAAAGGAGAGGTTAACAAGTTTAAAATGAACTTGTTCTTAACTCTTAAACGTTGTGAGAAAGATGATTGGCAGTTCTCTCAGACTGTTGATGCCTCCATCTGGTTGGGAAATCTGTCCTTGTTTCTTAGTCACTCAGAATAACTGTTTACGAAGCTCTTAAGTCTCATCGTGTGTTTTCTACCTTTGCATCTTAAATCTGCATGTTCCCTTTGCATTACTTGCCCTCTCTACCTTATTTGTATACCTCTGCTCTGGCAGTAAACTTGGCCAGAGGCAATTCGTTGTTGGGTTGTTTCGTACAACACCATTTATCAGAAACAACTTGAGGGAATTACTTCAAATTTTGCAAATACGTCCACTTAGCCCCAATGACAAACTGATTCGAAATTGGTTGTTAAACATCAGTAACTGAGACATAACAAACCCATTTTTGGCCATAACTCAATAAATCAGTTTTACACAATTGTCTAATAGATGGGTCATTCCAGAATTGGAGGACAATTTAGGAAAAACAGATAATAAACCATCAAAAAAAGTGATAAAGGCATCAAATGTATATTTTCCAATGAATAATTAACCCTGTTACTCTAATTATAGTAACAGGGTTGCAAATTAATGCTAATTTTAGCTTTTACCTCAGGAATGAATGCTAGCTGCACAATGTAATGCTATTGTCAAGGAATGGACACACTTAGATATTAACTAAAGAAAGATACATTTGAAATGAATTTGTTTTAGTCTCAAAATGTGAGTAACAGGGTTGCGTTTGTATGAGTGCCACACTCCTTCAAGACTGACAAGATTGGAAATATATTACAAATAAAAGGGAGGACTTACTTTTGGTCTACCCATGGCACTAGCACATGGCTTGCTGATGTCCTTTCTGTGTCATCTGACTTACAGTTTTTTCACTTCCTGTGCCAATCTAAAAAGGTTTGGGTAACAGGGTTGAACGCATGTTGAGGGACACACCTTCAGTGTAAAATTACTGTTATTTAAAATGTGTTTATGATTTAACAAATTGATTTTGCCATTACAAGAGACATATATCAATAGAATAATACCAACAAAAGTAAATAAAATCCCTATTTTAAATGTTATATTTGACATGCAAGTTGGTCACCAAGAAGCTGGGACAAGAGAAAAGGGCCATTTTAGGGGATGTTCGAGAGCTATTTGTTAATTAAAATAATATTTTGAAACCACTTTTTCTACAACTTTATATACATCTTGTCTCAAGACAAGTATATTTAACACAACAAGTGCATGTTTTAGCTTTTTGGGCATGGATTATTACATTTTTTATATGGGGGACATGAAATGTCCTCCAATTCCGGAATGACCCAGATGATGAAATGATGATATTTGACCAGATATGGATGTAAACGGCAACTGGACTGATTGGCAAAGGCACACAAACACATGGCAGCATTTCTGGTGTTCTTCTATAGTATGTAAAGATCCTACACAATCTGAGCTAAAACTCTCAACAAGTACTTAAAGTATATTGTTAATATAAAGCAAGAGGCAGAAATTATAGTCTATATCTTTAATCTGTAAAGAGCTTAACGTATTAATATATTATAGCATCTGTCTCTCTGTGTGCTGATTGTAGGGCAAGGCATCACGTCCATAGACATTATATTTCTAGGTGTCCTTTTTTTATTGTATATTTTTGTAGGACAACCAACACCTTTCGTCTCCCTTGTTCTCCCCTCCAAAAAACCCATTGGTTTTATGAGATATTCTTGAAATTGACAAACACAAGTTTATGATACTTACACGGTTTGTTCAGACGTGACGTGCTGCTCTTGCTGTTGAAGCGGGGGAGGAAATGTTATTGCAGTGTGAAAGTTCTCCGTGTTGAGAGGCCACGTCTGCTGTCTTGTCCTCGTTTGACCTTATCTCTGCTCCAAGTGACACAGACTGAACTCTGCCAAAGCCACAGCACTTTCCTCTGAGCAGGTGATGATACACAGAGCTCACTGCTGATATATCTCACCCTGACTGTTGTTCTCGTGTGTTAGTGTTCTCCTGTGGAAAGCACTTTGACAGGTTGCACTTTCAATGTATTTTTAGTGAGAGGCTTTTTTGATTTAGCCACATTTGTCACATCAAGATCAAGGATATATTTTACAACGGGAGATCTGGACAAGAAAAGCGGAAACAAAGAGTTTCAACATAATAAACACGTTTGCATGCAGACAACCTGCAATATATTTCAACACAGCTTTTAGGTCATTCAGACGTTTTTAAGATTAAGAAATAGGTCATTGCATGATTACAAAAATGAAAACTTTCAAAATAAAGTTAAAACATAAAAAATAAAAAAAAGATTTTAGGAATTTAGATTTTTCTAAATAATTAAAGAAATATTGCAAATTCTGATAAAAGTTTCAGCTTTCTTTGTAACATAATGGTTGTGCTGGTTACTAGATAGGAGAGAGGGGGTGTTTAGGTCAGCTGTAAGAAATGAGTTTGTTCAGAAGCTATTTTGAGTACAGGGGTCTTTATCTGTATCAGGGGAGTGTAACTACACACACACACACACACACACACACACACACACACACACACACACACACACACACACACACACACACACACACATTTAATGCAATTATGACAACCAAAAATGTCCCTTACATCAAACTGCTCAGAGCTTCTTGTTCAAGAAGTTCCAAAACCCCCCCGCGGTTTATTTTTATGAAATGCTGTATCATTTTGTCTCAGCGTCCTCTCTCATATTTTCGGACATTTTACAGCCGTCTCAAACCCAAAGCCTGTGTGTGTGTGTGTGTGTGTGTGTGTGTGTGTGTGTGTGTGTGTGTGTGTGTGTGTGTGTGTGTGTGTGTGTGTGTGTGTGTGTGTGTGTGTGTGTGTGTGTGTGTGTGTGTGTGTGTGTGTGTGTGTGTGTGTGTGTGTGTGTGTGTGTGTGTGTGTGTGTGTGTGTGTGTGTGTTGGCTTCGGGACATTGAAACCCACTTTGTAACCCTTTTACGAGTCTGGCATGACAACAAGGTTTTATCCGGCTGGAATGTTGGAAAGAGTGCAGAGTTGACGTCAGCGAACCCCCCCCCCGCCCACGGTAGTTAGACTTTTGTTCCACTTACCGGCCCGAAGTGTGTGTGTGTGTATGTGTGTGTGTGTGAGAGCTGGTACTGTACACAAACAACTGGTTCTTTCACTGCTGCCCCTCCCTCACTTTAGGGTGACCTCATGGTGGTCAGTGTGTGTGTTTGTTGTGTGTTTTTTTGTGTGTGTAAAGTCTGAGTGTGTATCGGCTGCAGTGTGTGTGCTGGGGTTTTCCTGATTTGCTCATGCACAACCACCAAAACACACTGTTCTGTGTGTGTGTGTGTGTGTGTGTGTGTGTGTGTGTGTGTGTGTGTGTGTGTGTGTGTGTGTGTGTGTGTGTGTGTGTGTGTGTGTGTGTGTGTGTGTGTGTGTGTGTGTGTGTGTGTGTGTGTGTGTGTGTGTATGCAATGAGGCATTGGTGATTAAAGGCTTTTGCTTTGGTCTATTTAAACCCCAACTACAGTGCATAGATTCATAAGGCATCTGACCAGGCCAGATCTCGGTGATTCAAAGCCACTTTTTGTGAGATCACAGATGGCAAATGCCCAAAACAACAAACAAACTTTGCGAATAAATAAAAAACATAAACTCCCCTTGACAAAGAGAATACAAGTTAAACACAAGACAAGTCTCTACCCTGATCTCAAGAGAAAAAACAAGAGAAAGAGACTTCAAAAACTGTGTTTAAAAGTGATTAACATCTCATTATAAATCATTATTCTTTCCACTGTTAACCTGTCACTTGTTGTGGGGTTGGTCCCTGATTCGCTCTGCACGTTTACACTCTGCAGCCACACTTTACCGCCATGTCAAACACAATTGTCAAATAAAAAATGTTTTACGTTTGAGCAATAAAAAACACATTTTACTCCCCTGTCTCAGAGCCAAACTCTCACATTGTGTGTGTGTTGTCATTATGGGTTGTTTTATGGGAAAACTCTTCATCACAAGTGTTCTTCATTTTACATTCAAAGTCTGACAGTTATTTGACTTTTTTAAATGCGTGTAAAAGATTGTATCTCTCCGATGTGATATTGCAAGACTCTCATGATTAGATTAGAATAGATTAGATTTACTTTATTGAGCCGAATTTGGCAAGTTGTTTATGAACTAAACGGTTGTTAGATTGACTTTTTTCACTTGTGTTTTCGGAGCAAAATGTCAAACAAAGCTAAGATGTCAGAAGTTATTACATATTATATTTCTCATGTTTTGGTTTCACTGGTTTTATGGAAATCACTGCATGGCACAAATCTTTTCTACTGCCTGAAACGCCTCCATTGAACTTCTTTGTTTACTTCCGGAACATAATGACATCACTATGTAACACACACGCTCCTATTGGCTAGCGCTTCAACACATTGTACGTAATAGGCTAAGGGGCGGGACATCTCTACGCGGTTGACCAATCACAACAGAACCAGCCCTGTACAGTCAGTGTGAAATGTATCACAGATTCTCACCTCTGTCTCTCTGTTTTATTTCCTTCAGAGAACGATAAGCCGATGAAGGGTCTGCGTCAGGAGGACTTGGTGAACCAGGATCTGATCACAGAGCTGAGGAAAGAGTTCAGCATGACGTATGATGACTTCTACATGGTGCTAACAGACGGAGACATGAGGGTCAAGGTGAGGACTCGAGTTATGGGATGGAAGTCCTTAGAGGCACATTAAGTTGAGCTCTGTGCACATTTCCTTTACCAACTCCAAATCTCCCACAGCCCCCGTCAATCATGGCGTCCCTCAGGGTTCTGTACTTGGTCCCCACATTATTGAGCTCTGTGCACATTTCCTTTACCAACTCCAAATCTCCCACAGCCCCTGTCAATCATGGCGTCCCTCAGGGTTCTGTACTTGGTCCCCACATTATTGAGCTCTATCACATTTAATAGTAATAATAATAATACATTTCATTTATACATTTACACTTTAAAAAACAACGTCATCTCAAGGTGCTTCACAATGCTATGAGGAGAACAACAAAACAATTAAAAGTTATCTAAGGAGCATTTTGAATAAAATATGGTAGTGTGAAAAAGGTTAGAATAAAAAATAAATGTAGTAATGCAGAGGTCTGTATGTTCGCATTTCAAAGGCTCTCTCATCTCTTACCTGAACTCAGAGGACAAAAGGACCCTCTTTTATGGGCCACTTGTTTTGAAGAATCCAGACCAGACAAGGACAAGTCGTGATGATGTTTTAACAATGTGAACAGAGTGAGACTTTCCCTCGAAGGTTAAAGTACTTTCTCTTCTTTATGTTGTACTGGTTCATTCTATGGCTGCCGTTATGAGAAGAATATGGGATATGCAGAAACGCTTGGTACATTTTACAGTTCAGTACTCACATCAGGGAAGTAAATGAAAACACAATATCGAGATTGATGCACCACTTATTTTGTAAAACTATCATAAAGAGAGCAGTGGAAACATGGAGACCTTTAACACGGTTGTTTACTAAATTACCACCGAAAACAATGTTTTAAAGAGTAAATAAGGAACCACATAAATATACAAAAGTGTAATTTACCCTGGAGACCTTTTTTGCACTAGCTGCATTTTTTAAAAGCATAATTTTCTAAAAATGTTAAGAAATATAGTCGCCATATTGAAATGTTAACGAACAAATAAGAAAGTTCTGAAAAGGCTTATTTGCACGAATAGTCCTAGAAAAATATCCTGCATCAAGAAATGTTAACGATCAATAGACACACCATAAAAAAGGGTTTATTGGCACAAAAAGGTTACCCAAAAAAAGCAAAATGTACATAGTCCAAAGAAAAAAGTGTTATGCTGCTTTCAGTATACTGTTAAAATGTCAAAAAATAACATTGAATTGAACATAAAAGTCACATAAAAAAAGATTTCTACTGATACTCCTTCAGCAAATAATAAAATTGCAGTCCTTTTGCCGCGTTGACCCCTCAAAATATTGCATAACATTGACATTGCGTAAAAAAATATGTGTAAAGCCGGAGTTATTTCCATAAATGAACGTTGACAGGTTCACCAGCAGCTCTTTGATCCTCTGCTGCTCTCTGACCTGTCCAACCACCGCCTTCACTCTCACACTGATTGAATTCACACTACATGATATCTTGCCCACACCTGTGTGTACGTGTGTGTTCATGCCAGGGTAAATCTCCAGGCTGTTTTTGGACGTTTCAATCAAAGAGGCCAGTGTTCTCTGTGTGCTGACCAGACAGAAGGGCGAGAGTGTGTGAGAGAGTGTGTGAGAGAGAGTGTGTGTGGGAGACAGAGAGAGTGTGAAAGAAGCTGATTCAGCAGAACCACAGGAAGGTGTGAAAGTGTGTGTGGCTCTGACAGAAAATCATGTCCAGAGTGTTCAGCTTTTTGTAAAAAACACATTATATCAAAAGTACAGTTTTGCAAATCATTTCTCTTTAGTGACCCGAAAATGGCAATGAACAACGAAAACGTATATATAGAGGTTGTTTGAAATGACAAATATCTACACATGTATCCACTTAAACACATATATATACACACACACACACACACACACACACATACACATATATATATACATACATACATGTACGTACACACATATACGCACAGATACATACACACATATATAACTATCTTTTTGTAAATGTAATGGGATGCTGTGTTACGTTCAGGCTAGGAAATACAGGATGACATTTAAGAGGAGATATTAGCTCAGGGGTGGCAAACATACGGCCCGCGGGCCGGATCCGGCCCGGGAGGCATTCCAGCTTGGCCCACGGAGCTGAAGGATTTTGCTAAGTAGGCTACTGTATGAGAGGAGGGGAAAAAACTGCTATTTTGAATCCTTCCACTAGTGGGCGCACTACCGCACCGGTACCAGTGAGAGCGCAGCCAGACTGTAAAAAAAGTGATGAGTAAGAGTAGTGATTGCAGTCAATAACCTCTGACACTCTCATCCCCAAATGTCTCTGTCAAAAAAGAGAAAAGTGGACACGGAGTGCCGAGTTTTCCAAGAAAAATGGACCGCATCCTATTTTTTTACAGAGGTAAATGGAAAACCTGTATGCTTGGTGTGTTCGCAGCAAGTTGCTGTGCCCAAAGAATATAATATTCGCCGCGATTATGAGACTCACCATGCGAAATACGACTGCTTGCAAGGACAACGGAGAAAAGAAAAGATAAATGACCTGCTATCAGGTCTAAAGAAACAACAGGCCGTTTTTACCCGGAGCCGAGATATAAGTGACGCAGCCGTGAAAGCCAGCTATCTCATTGCTAACGAAATAGCATCAGCCTCAAAGCCATACTCTGAGGGTGAGTTTGTGAAAACATGCATGCTGAAGGCTGCAGAAATCGTGTGTCCTGAGAAGCGACAGGCTTTTTCCAACATTAGTCTAACGAGGAATACAGTGAAGGATAGGATTGCCGATCTTTCAGCAGATTTGGATAGCCAGAAAAAAATAAAAGTCAAGTCATTCGTAGCATTTTCAGTTGCAATCGATGAGAGTACTGACATTACAGATGTTGCTCAACTGGCCATATTCATTCGTGGTGTAGATGAGACTTTAACGGTCACCGAAGAGTTCCTTGAGTTGGTTCCTATGACAGACACCACTAAAGCGGATGACATTTTTAGCGCTCTCGTTGAAGCACTGGACAGGGTCGGAGTGGACTGGACCCGTGCTGTCAGTCTGGCTACAGACGGCGCACCATCAATGATCGGGAAAAAAGCAGGTGTTGCCACGAAATTCAGGGAGAAAGTACAAGCAGCAAATGGAGGAGATCGTTTTTGGACATTCCACTGTATTTTGCACCAGGAGGCATTGTGTTGCAAGACGTTAAAAATGGATCACGTCATGAAAGTGGTTGTCCAAACTGTTAATTTCATCCGAGCCAGAGGGCTGAATCACCGTCAGTTCGACAGCCTCCTCAGTGATAAAGACATCACCTGTAGCCTACCATATCACACTGAAGTAAGGTGGTTGAGCCGAGGTGCCGTGCTGAAGCGTTTTTCTGATCTACGCGAGGAAATTGGACAGTTCATGGAGAAAAAGGGTAAGCCAGTGCATGAATTAAAAAACCCAGAATGGCTGCAGGACCTTGCATTTATGGTGGATATTTCAGAGCACTTGAATAATCTGAATATAACGATGCAAGGTCGCAAAAAAGTTGTCACAGAATATTATGACAGCATACGCGCATTTAAGTTGACGCTGGCTTTGTGGGAGACACAGCTGTCAAGTGGTGACCCTGCTCATTTCCCTCATCTAAGAAATGTGCATATGACCGGAGTTACTGCTGACATGAGTCGGTACAAAGACAACATTACGGAATTGCTGCGGGAGTTTGAGCGGCGGTTTCAGGTCTTTGGTGAGCTTGAGACAGAGTTTGCAGTGTTTCGCTCGCCATTTGCAGTTAAGGCTGCGGATCTGCCCGTCGACATACAACTTGAGATAATCGACTTACAATGTGATCAGGATTTAAAGGACAAATTTGCCTCATCGGACTTGGGCACATTTTATCGGTATCTTTTGCCAGGATACCCCCAAATTGACAGCCCTGGCAGCA